CTGATATATACCGCAATCAGAAATTAATTTCTCTGGAGATTAAAAACCTGAAATTAGCGCAATCTCAATAGCAGACTGCGTGTCGAACGCACTGTGCGCAACAAGGGATTATGGGAGTATGGCCGACTTTCGAGAGATTTTTAAATAATACTATAGTAACAAGTGTAGGGTTTATTTGAGAATAATAAAAAAGTAGGTTCGTTCGTGCTGAAAAGGATGAAAGGGCCTTCCACAAAACCGCCTGCTTACCGCCTCGAACTTTCAGATTTCTTATAAGTGGCCCCCAATGATGAGAAAAACGTAAAGGCAGAACGAGACTGTATGGAAACAAGTCAATCAGACCAGTCTCGTGATCGCCCGAATCCCCTTAAAGGTAGAAGGGTGTTGTTTTCGATCGATCCGTGGCCGGATCTCCGTGTCTCTCAAGAATTTCCCTTCCTGCATGACTTCCGGTTTTCTCGATTTTAATCGAAATATACAGTTGAGGGTGGATTTTGATTTATACTATTTATAGCCACGAGATCCGGCGGGTAAAGCCGCTGGAAACAACGACATGTGGAACGCTGAAGAAAACGCCAAAATTGTGACACCTGAAGTCGGTGTATATGGCTTGTCTGTGCGTTGTAGTCAGCCGCCAATGTAAGACGACGACGATACTCAAGTTTCCCATTATGATTTCCATAGCCTTACAAACAATGTTTACGTTGGACGACGCACATCAAAGCCTTGCCCCGCGCTAGACGGCACTTATCACAGCGAAATAGCGGACATCTGGTGCCGAATGATCATGACTGTCAGTCCTTTTTGAACAGACAGCGAATTGCGCCCATGTTTACCTACTGAGTTCTGCCTTCATTGTGCAAACTTGCAAACAAAATTCACAACTTTATTGCTATTAAGGCTGACTATTGCAACAGTAATTGCTGCTTGCTTGCATGCATGAATATCATTGTTTTTTGGTTTGCGATTTTGTCGACGAGGTATTCAAGAAATGGGAAATTCTATCTTGCCATTTCATTTCTTGACCAATAGTTGTCGCGGAAAATAAACTTAAGCAAAGCAAGAAGAGCTTATATGTATATATAATAACCCTAGATAATTACAAGCAAGTCACAACATTGTCGCGCAAAGGTAGGACGACTCAAACTCCACCTTCGGTAAAACAGTCTGGTGCTTAGTCCAGCGATTGAAGGATCCCTAAAAGTTCTCCTAATCTGACCAACGAACTAGCTTGACAAAGTTATGAACATGCTTCATCACAACCGGAAATGCGGTTATGCGTGTTCTGCTTCAAAATTACGTTCACACTCGACGGAGCTGTCTTCCAATGTCGCCTACCGTGTTGTAGACACCAACTTTATGGGTATACTCAGAGCGTTGAGTTAAATTGGCGGATGTTCAAACGGCAAACTCATATGATTACACTAGAATTGTTTGTTTTTTTTGTCATTATTACTACTGGTCTGACTGGGGGTTAGATGATGGGAGGCATGCACTTTTGCAAATGCTGGACTGGTGAACAGCAATTTCCTGCGCTATTGAACAATAAGCATTTGCTT